GCCTCCTGGCCGTGCTCGGCGCGGGGAGTTCGGGCACGGCCGTGGGTGTCCTGGGGGAAATAGATGGCCCTGGTAGATGATTGAAGCACCAGGTAAACCTATGGCATGGGTTGCATAACCTATGGCGATGCCATTTTGGGGATGAACATCCATTTGCCACCGTGTTTTTGATGTTCACCAGGGGTACAGGGTTTGGACCCACTGCCAGGTGAACAGCACACTGCGAGACTGTGGTGACGTGCGGGACGTGAGTGGGTGAAAACGTGAAAAGAGGGCCCTTGGCCCATTCAAACAAATCGAGACTGCTGGTGACCTGAGCCTTGGCAAGAAAGGCATTTACCTTACCCGGCCAAAGGCAAGCCAGAAGGATGGTCTAGACATCCGCAGGGCTCTTCTCGCAACTTTAAACAGAAACTGGAGACAAAAGCGGGGCAAAACCAAACCCTGAAAATAGCCCTCCGCTCAAAAAAAGGATTCTCAGCTGTACCTGGGTGTGTTTAGTGGAACTTCGAGCTCTGAGGCCGCTTGTTGCTGAATGTTATTAGTATTAGTATTATCTTATGCACATCTATGGCCCTTCCAAATGTTCACCTGCGAATCCACGACTACTTTATCACTCTAAAAGCTGATTATCATGGTACCGTATCACAAACAGTGGTCGTGAAACCAGACATGGGCTTGTCTCAAACTACCCCCCGCCCCTCCAAAAAAACAACTTTGCGGCTTTCCTTCAACAAAAACCCAAAGGGGCATCCTCCCCCCGGGTCAACAAATGAAACACTGCCCAATTCAAAATGGGACACAAAAAAAGCGAGGGGCATCCCGCGTTTTTTAAAGAAGTGTTGCACATCCATTTGGCACAAAAAAGAGGAGCATCCCGACATGTCTTGTTTCAACTCCCATTTTGCCAGTTGGCCCATGCCGAAAGCCCCCGAAACCACCGGCTTCCCCGCCCCATGCAGCAGCCGCAGGCCGCTGCAGCCCGCCAGCTCCGTGCCACTCCGCCGCTCCGCGGCTGCCCGGGCCAGGCGCACGGCCCAGGCGCCGTTGTCTGGCGCGTTGCTTGGCGAAGCGGGAGCTGGACGCTGGAAACCTTCAGCTTCCCCCTGATTGGTGGTTTGGATTGGTTTGGATTGGGGCTTGGTAACTTGGTAATATGGAAACAAGGACTAAAAGCCGCGGCGTGCCCCGGCTGTCTAGTTTTAAGCAACACCCACATTGTAAACCATGCATCCTGCCATAGGGTCACATTAGACAGCTGTGAGGGCAACTTGTGCGGCTTCTAGGATCCTAGAAACGTATAAAAGTACGGCGAAGCAGCCAAACAACAGAAATGCTACTACGACATCTTATCTGCAAATTCCTTAGCTTCGAAAGCATTGCCCAAACAGTAGGGGTCGATTAGTTTTGGGGACCTGTCATATGTTCGTCCAGTTTTCCAACCATAGGTGTCCGTTTGGTACAACAAATGGCCCTGGCAAATGGAATAAAGCCAATCTGAACCAATTGAACCCATCTATTTCTACCCAAACCAACCTAGGACCCCTATTCCATCAAAGCCTTGCGAGAAGATGACTTCGGTTCCTCTCATCCAGCCGAACTTCTGGGAACTTCGCGAAGTGGTGTGGTCATGTTTCAATTAAGAAACAAACAATCCAGGCCTAGCAATTCCAAAGATAGATATACGATTTCGAAACGGTTCATCAAAATTGACAGTGGCCAAACATTGGGGCTTGGGCAACGCACGTGGTCATGGCTGAGCAAATCGGGGATCTGCCACTCCACGACAAAATCGTGCACTCTTGCTATCAGCACTGTCAAAGTTCACTCTTCAAGCACACACACACAAAAAAAAATAAAAAAATAAAATGCCAGCTCACAACTTGCTCTGGTATTTCAACACCATCCACGTATGTAAACCAACAATCCACTACTTTAGAGAGGAATGTGGGCAAAAAATGCATTCATGGTGAGTGATTGGGCATCACCAACACCGTCCAGGCAACAGAAACAGAAGCCTCGGCTTCCTCAGGGCCCCCAAAATCCGAGCAGTTCGAGTGCCTGGTGTCTCTGGATCGCCTGGCCACCAGAGCAAGCGTACCTGGGAGACGCCCACTGTGACCGTGGACACCCAATCAATTCGTGTCGTTTTTTTGTTGGTTCCCCGGTTTGCAGTGTTCTGCGGCGTCTCCAGCTTGAGCTGGAAAGGCGACCTTTGGGCTTGGCGCAGTCGCTAGGTTTTCCACCACAAATGCAGTGCGCAAAGTACAATTTGGCAACTCGCTAGCGCAAGTCGCAACTGTTCGGTACACATAGTGTACTTTGGCAGCTCCGGGGCAGCTGGATGGATTCAGCATAACGGCCAATGAGTTGTCGGTTGGCCATCTGTTTGGCCGCAAAGGTATGATCCTGCAACCTTGGTTTGCGACAACAACTTGGACCTGATGTTTTCCTTGCTTCTATGGGAATCGGTACTCTTCCTCATGTCGGTTTGCAGCAATCCTGACCTGCAAAGCAAGCTAAGGGACGTGCCTTTGCATGACGAAGAGGTGTGGGTAGTTTGTCCCGAACCGCGTGAAATGAGTCACAATGAAACGGTATTGACAGGGTCTGATAAAAATCATTTAAAGTATCAAAGCGCAGCAGCACCTCTTCATGGGTGGTTTCTCCTTGCCTGATCTTCATTTGCCCGGTTCTGGCTTGTCTCGAACAAGATCAAGGCAAGAAAGACCACCGATGATATGCAAAGTTGGTGTTTCCTCGCTTGGCTTGTTGGCTGTTCTACCCTTAAACCCTCCTAGTGTCGTTGTTGTTGTTGCTGCTGCTGTCGTCGTCATTGTTGTTGCTGGTGGTGTTGCTACCACTGTCCCTGTTGTCGTTGTCGGGAGTGGCGGCGGCTGCTCAGTGTGTCTAGCTATAATCCTACACGCAAACCCAGCGAGATACCGTCTCACACATTCACAGTACCGATCCGCAAACATAAGCTTCGCTACCTTGCGTGCAGTCACTTGGAAGGCCACTTGCAGTAAACACTGAGATCTGACGCAAAGTTCCTATGTCTCAGAGTGCACATATTGGGTTCTCCAATTGGCTTGTGGGTTCTCATGTTCGCATTGTCTAACATTCTGAGTGGATCGGCCAAAACGCCCGAACTTGTTGTTTACCTCTAAAACAACAGATGTCCCAAAAGGCACCATGTCCAGGAACTCAGGGTAAGCTTTAAAAGGTGCTCTTATTCTTTGGACACTTTCACAACCCAGTGGCTTTCAGCGGCGAGTACGGGTCATAGAAGCCCCAAGCCAGCAACTGCTGCTTCCAGTGGACGCTCACCAGGCTTCCCGCTGCTATCCTCGAGTGGCAAAAAACGCCGCACAGATTGGTGTCGCGAAAATCCAACTGTGAAAATCAACCATTTGGAGGGGTTGACCCCAGAACCAATGGAAGTGCGAGTGTACCAATGGTGGTCCCGAAGGTAGAGAAATGAACTTGGAACCTGAGACATCTGTGGCAAGCAGAAAGCACACAGCATATCGAACATCCACTGCGTGCAGGGTAACCAATTTGCTACTTCCCAAACGTGCACACCGTTTCCGCCGTTTGAATCAGGGAGGGCAAAGTGGGCACACCTTTCTTTTCACTGGGGCGCTTCTGAAGCACCATACAATGCCAGGAGACACGTCCACAAGCGATGCATTTGTGAGAAACACTTCCCATCCCGCAAATCAAGCAAATGTAAGTTGCTGCGGCGCCTTGCTATAAACCATCCGTATCGTTCAATTCATGAAACACAGGGTCATTTCGCCTGAAACTGGGAAGGCTTGAAGGTGAGTACGGGCTCTTGGCCAGTGAATTGCAAAGTGTGCCAACAAACAAGCCGTCAGGAACACAATTCGCCACATCGAGTTCTGGCCGAGCGTCAGCCCCTCCCCGCAAACAGGACGAATTGAGGGTCTTTGGTCCTGGGTGTTTTGTGGGTCCCTTACGAGAGAACTTGCTGCAGTACCATCTTCCGGGCCTCAAATGTCGAGTTCCTTGTCAAGCATGTTGATAGCAGTCAAGGCCCTGCAAATGTTCCAGGCATCTTTTCACACCCATGTGTTCATGCTGATTTGAGTTCGGTGTGCACAACAAAATTATCTTTATAGTAAATGACGCGTGAACGTTGACTGTTGTTGCGGTCCTATGCTGTGGGCAATTATTGCTTGATTCTCGTCGCCATCACACAAAACATTGCCTGGAAACCCCACAATCGCCTCATGACATCCCCCCCAATGCCCACGACGTATTCCAGCGCAACTGCAAACTTGACTTCGAGATGTGACGTTTTGTGACATTATTTTCAGTTCAATCGCTCCCCTCAGCATAGATCGATCTGCGCGTCACCTGGCTAAATCAAGCGCCATGCTAGCATGTGACACTCCAACATATCCTCAACCGGTTTAAGCCGCAGGCCACTGCCATGCTCCGAGTGTCTGCCGTTGGCCACGCAAGGCCCTGTCGAAAAGCCAGGGGTGCTTTGCCTTGACAGACTTCCGCAAGTCCTGGAAGGGCGCTGACGAGACACTGCACCAGGGGCCGTCCATGTCAAAAGTTTCTATCTTTTCGCTTGTCAAACTACCCGGCGCGTGGAAAATGGAACGTGCCGCTGCGCTAAATTTGCGCCACGCTCTGTCACCCCCGTCCCACGCCTACCATGTGTTTTGTCATGTCTGGAGGAAAATAATCACACCGTGACAGGGGGATTCAACAAAACACTGTATTTTACCATACGAAATGAAGGTGCGAGTGGCGAAAAGTAGCACCTTTTTTTGAAGAAAATTGCGTTTCGCCTGCGTTTTGAGCAGTGCCGAGTGGTTCGTTTGATCCCGAGCACAGCATCATCTTCCAGGGCCTCCTCGTCTGACATATGCGAATCATCTTCCACCTCGTCTGACATATGCGAATCATCTTCCAGGGCCTCCTCGTGTGACATATGTGAGTCATCTTCCAGGGCCTCCTCGCCTGACATATGCGAACCGGGGCCGCTCGCTGGCGATGGCGAAGGCAGGAGTCCCAAGCTGGAACTGGAGCTTGGCGGGCACGACTCACTGGAGGACACGATCGCGACATCACAGTCAAGGTCACAAACTCGCTGATGTGGGCAGTGGTCGAATGCGGATGCGGCATGTGTTCTGCTGGCTGTGGATGCTGCGGGGCGGGTGTGCTTATCATGGGCTGAGCATGTGTTCTGCTGGCTGTGGATGCTGCGGAGCGGGTGTGCTTATCATGGGCTGAGCATGTTTTCTGCTGGCTGTGGGTGCTGCGGGGCGGGTGCTTACTGCTGTCTTTGGATTCTGCGGCGCGTATGCTTGTCATGGTCTGAGCATGTGTTCTGCTGGCTGTGGATGCTGCGGGGCGGGTGTGCTTATCATGGGCTCAGCATGTGTTCTGCTGGCTCTGGATGCTGCGCAGCGGGTGTGCTTATCATGGGCTGAGCATGTGTTCTGCTGGCTGTGGATGCTGCGGGGCGGGTGTGCTTATCATGGGCTGAGCATGTGTTCTGCTGGGTGTGGATGCTGCGGGGCGGGTGTGCTTATCATGGGCTCAGCATGTGTTCTGCTGGCTCTGGATGCTGCGCAGCGGGTGTGCTTATCATGGGCTGAGCATGTGTTCTGCTGGCTGTGGATGCTGCGGGGCGGGTGTGCTTATCATGGGCTGAGCATGTGTTCTGCTGGGTGTCAATGCTGCGGGGCGGGTGTGCTTATCATGGGCCGGTATGATGAGCGTCGAGGTTTTTTAACCGATGGCAGCGAGGTTTTTTAACCGATGGCAGTAACTACACGTACGGTTTTCCACGTGTAGGCTCAAACTACAGGGCCTGTAGAGACAAAGACGATTTGGCTTTGGCATGTTTCAGTCGTGACATAGGCAACGTTCGCAGGTGTTTTCCATGCAACGTCAAAACGGCCATGTGTGGTTTTCCTGCATAATATGTTTTAGGAATGCGCTTCCAACAAATGTTTAAGCCAGATTTTGACAAAGAAAGCTCCCGAACATGCTTCCACAATTATTGTTGTGCAGAAAACAGCGCAAAAAAAACTCCCGAGGCAAAATTTAGCGGAAAAAACAATCCAACATGTGCTTTGAATAAGAAATGCCAAAAGGATAAGCTCCCAAGCCACAAAATGTCAACGATGCTTGAATAAGCAAATCAAATCAGAAGCTCCCCAGCCAGAATTCCAACGCAAAAGCCTTCCACACATGATTGTTGAATAATAATTCCAAAAGGAAACGCTCCTTTTGGCCAACATTCCAAGAACATGTGTTCCAAATTATGATTGTTGAATAAGGAATTCAAGAGGAAAGGCTGGAGTCAAAATTTGCCGAAGCGACAACATACATATGTTTGACTATATACGGATTTCAACTCCAGAACCAGCCCCCTCCGCCCCCCCCCGCCCCCGCCCTCGCTTCCCTGACCTTGGTGAGCCACACCTTCTCCGGCACGAAGCAAGGCTGCAAGAAAGCCTGAGGATCGCACGAAGTGGTCACGAAGACAAAGCAACCAATGGCCGTGGTGGTCAAAACCGAATTGGTAACCCCAACATGGCGCTTGCGCCCTGGTCAATGGAAAGGACGATTTAACCTGCGGTCCATAAATTTGACCCATACCCAAATGATCCTCTCACCGGTGGATTGCTCAAAAAGCAAAATGGTGATAACACGTTGGCACCCCGCAATAAGCAGAAACTCGGAGGGAAGGGGCGGGGACGGAATCCCCTTCGTTGTTGCAACTGGGGCCATACCCGTGCCAAACTGCACTGGCACAGACCAGACCGTACACCCAAAGCCGAACCCTCTTCACCGGGCGGTGCCGCACATACGTTTCTGTCACGGTCAGTGAAAAGTGAGTTTGGAATTTGTTGAAATCTCGGCGATTCCTTTGAGCAAGGGCTGCTTGGAACATGCTGATTGCTAAGATGATTGCCACTACCCTCAAACCGCTACCCCTGGCGGCGAACGGGGTTTATATCCTTCATATGGTCGTTTGATATCCCCTTAAATTTCTGGGGGTGGTGGTTGGGGGCTGGAAGCCATCTCAAATGATTGCATTGAGGTCGAAACAGCATGTATGCGATCAGACGGCGTCACGTACCTGCCACATGTTGTTTCATATAGTTGCTCATTAAATCCAGAATTATGGCACTACATCATTTGAATCCTTTATCTCTATCCCCTGACTCGTCTTTCTGAGATGCATCGCTACCTCGCCACAAAGCAATCCCTGACTCCAAAAACAAACCTAGAAATCGTCCACACATCTAGAGATTAGTGGTACAAGGGAAACAGTATGATGGAGGCTTGCTAATTAAGACTCCACCAAAGGAAACCGAAGAATTGCTGGGAGAGACCTTACAAACCAAGTATTTCTTTATATGCATATATAAGTATATATGTAGGTTTTACTATCAGTCTTCTCTGTCCCACGCTTACATCCTACCTTCGGGAACTAGGAGAGAGACTCCCCGACTTGTTGAAAGGGATAAATGCTAAGGTGTTTTCGTGCGGATGACAGGATCTCAAAAAGAAAACAGAAATTGAGGAAGCTCTAAGTCTCTTTTCTCCACAACATCTGACCTATATCGTTTGTCAGCTTTGAAATCTAACAATAAAACAAACTAATTCCAAAGGCAAATTCTATGAGGTGCAAAAGGTGTGTAAAGGAATTGATGGTTTGACTATGATTACAATGATTATCTTTCTCTTTGTCATGAGCCACAAAGTTTGTGATAACCTATGAAAGGAGAGGACTTCTAGTTCCGTTCTGTAGCTATTTCAGTGTTTAAATCAAAGCATTGCATATCGTCTTCACACCAGACCACAAGAACGGATCGGAGTGTTCGGGGCCTGGCTTCCCACCCTACAAGAACCACGGGTTCAAATCCAAATCCAAACCAATCCACACCACCAATTAAGGGTTGCCTGAGAAATGGCGGAGTGATACACAAATGTCCATCTATCTCTTTCAGGTTACTCCTGACTCAACTTCTGGCACACATTGGTGATGAAGAGATCCAAAAGCGCTTTACAGCCGGGTAAAGCTAGAAGTTGTAAGAAACCCAAACTAATTGTGGAACTATTATATTGGGACACTAATTGTGGAACTATTATATTGGGACACAATGTCTTTGTCATTCCAATTGACGGCATTCAACCAACTCTCGGATGCGAGGCAAAGGTCTAAAAGGAGCCACCATCTTATCAGAAAAGGTCTTTACATCTATCCTTTGGAACTTCAATTGACATCTTATTAGGATTAACTGTCTTCTATTCGGATTAAGTGTCTTCTCCCTATGTTTCGTTTACAGTTGAAAGGTAAGATATGTTGTGTTGTCCAAAAAGAAAACAACGGAATCCGGAAGTTGCGTCCAATGGATGTTCTCTTGAAGAGTCATTAGGCAACAAAGAGACAAAGTGGAATTCATAACATACGAATTCTATTAATCTACTTCGGTCCTTGCAAGCTAAAACGCCTTTAACATGACGTAGAAGCTTGGCAAAGGAGAAAACCAATAAAGGATGGTAATGTCCAAGCTTTTACTACCTGTTGCCATCAGAATGGGTTGTAGGACACACGGCACCTTTATTGTCTTCCCCACATGGTCAACCTATTCTTTCATTGTTAGATTCTTGCAGCTATCTAATAATAGACTTATAGCTCTTGCAAAGGATAGAAGTAGACATAATATGACGATTAACTGCGTCTCTCATCATCCTGCTTGAAGCAATGATAAACATGATGACGAACATGATGATGATGATGATGATGATGATGATGATGATGATGATGATGATGATGATGATGATGATGATGATGATGACGAGGATGATGAGGATGATGAGGATGATGAGGATGATGATGATGATGAGGATGATGAGGATGATGATGAACATATCAAAATAGTCCTACCTTTGTTGTGCTTCACAACAAGGCACGGTATGCCTGCGGGTTCATTCTGATTCGTTGCATCCTCATTTGGTAAAGTTTCGGGACCCTCGCGAAGCAGACGAGCGGCAGGTCTCTGGCTCGTATGTGTTGGAAACATACGCGTTTGCCGCAAGTCGTAGATAGCAATGCATGGCTACGGTATTCATTTTGCAGGCCGGCCCTCCATACAGTGCTTGTCCTCAGGGCTCGTGCAACTGTCACTGTAACTTCTAACTTGGCGAACTTCTGCTTGTGCTTCCACTGGAGTATTTGGCCTGTTTGTCGTTTGTTGACACCCTCTTGTGGTTTTAAATGGGAAAGCAAGAGGAACAACATTGTGGGGGTCCAACCCCTAAAAAGACACACACCCATTTTGTCGCAAGTGTTTGCAGCCAACTTCATCAGAGTTGCTATTGCAGGAATCGTCATCATCATCATCATCGTCGTCATCCTCATCATCCCATCCCCATCCTCATCATAATCATCAACAACATCTGATGGGTACCTCCATCCATTTCCACCTTTCCAGTGCCAAAATCAGTTTTAAGGGCCCTTCCCCACTTGCCAGCAACCAAATTGCTAAAGAAATGAAACCAAACGGAAGCCCGTCATTGCCACCCTATTTTGTGGGAATCATCTATGCTTCTCTGGGTCAACCTAAGAGGAAAATACCAGCCTCTCTAAGGTTGCCATGGTTTGAGGGATATCAAAGTCTGTTTCGGGTTCCTTATTCCGCTTGCTAACAACGAGGCACTGTCCCTGACATGACGGGGCAATAAATCACGAGAAACATGATATGTACAAAACACAAACAAAACACGCATCCCTTCTCCCCAAAACTCGTGCCCTGCTACTCAGTTCAGCTGACTCTCTGCTCAAGATGGCACTCCGCAGTTCCCGTGGCAGACACCATTTTCCGGCAAGCAGCCAGCGCGCAGGCTGGAAGCGCCCAATGCGAACGCATGCCAGTGGCTTACGGCCCAGAGACCGCATCGGCTCACCGAATGGCCGCTTAAATGCAGCAGACTTTTGTGGTGGATTCGATACCCTTCAAGTGAGGGTCTGAGAGGAAAACCAAAATGGACCTTGTCAGGAGTTTCCACATTTGGAGCCTCATATCATCTGACTCTGTGGTGGAAAGAAATCCTGTTGATACATTCAAACTGTTTGCCACTAAGAAACAACATGTATAGAGTCTTGCAATACAGGGTGTGCTCTCATGCAACTTGAATTACAGCTGCCATATACATTGCTCATAAATGCTGTCCAAGCAATTAGGAAGGGGCTGGGCGGTCACAAACGGATTCCTGCAATGTCGGACGTGATTCAAAGGCTTTTACGGTCGCCCACGGTGCACTTCCCATGAGGTCACTTGAGTGTGGCAGCGTCCACCAACCTTTGAGCCGGGAGGGCCATAAGGCTCGGTGAAGGCATCGTGGTCAGAAGTTCGGTTGAATCCCAGTTCGCACACCCCCATCGCTTTTTGGAAACTACTGGGGACTTTGGACATGGGAAGAAGTGGTTGGGAGTGTTGGAAGGTGTGCTTGTGTTTGTCCAGGCAATCTGTGCAACGCGTCATTTGTTGCTGGCTTCCGAGAAGACCACACAACAGGGTGCTCCCAGGATACTTGGCTAGCCACAAACCAAGTACAATCTCACACTCAGAGGGGTCTGCAATGCACATTTCCTCATGCAACCCCGACTCGTCCATCAAATTCCTGCTGTCAGTTGCAACAGCCAGGTAGATTGTGATTTGCGCCGGACCCTTTCATTTTTAGCCCCTGGGGTAGGGGCCGCCCCGAAATGGCCTCGTTTTCCCTTTTGGCTCTCCTTCTACCACCGCAAAACCCGGGGCAGCTCCCAGATACCATAAACTAATACTCATGGCCCGCTCCAAAGTGACGCAGGGGCGACTCCCAGAAAGACGCCCCAAGATCGATCGGCGCTCCGAGCCCTCATGGCCTTCAACTCTGCCCGCAAGGCATGCTCCTGTCGAGTAGGCATGGTCTCAGAAGAGACACGGCGCCTCGTCTTTTTGTGCGGCGCCCTTCTCGGCCGGCTGGTTTCAAGGTGAAAAGGAACACTTGAACGAGGGGTCCCCAAGAAGCCAATATGGAGGGTAAGCCTTTTTGGTTGGTTGAGCGGGAAACCCAAAGCTGAGCTATTTTGGAGTCCCAGAAAAAAGACAGCGTGTATCTCAAAATAGAATCTGGCTTTTGGATGGTGCCACCGGGAATCCCAAGAAGAAGCAATTCAGGAGGCCAAGCCCAGAAAAGCGTGTCCGAGAAGACTCAAAGTGGGCAATATATTAGAAGCGATGTATCTCACACCATCCGCAAACCAGAGCTTTCTCTGCGAACACGTGAACAAGCTACTTGTAACTTCTGGGCCAGAGCCGCAATCCTAGATTCACCACCCATGAGACACATAATTAATATACTTTCTCTCATGTGCCTGCGGCGTCTGTGCGTGGATTTCTGCAATCATCAAAACAACTGTGCAAGGAATTAACTACAGCCCGCATGTGGGGAAACGGACATGGCCTACAGAAAATATCAGTTGTCAGCGACTGATCAGCACAATTCGCAATGGTTCCCCCAACTGCAAACCGTGTAAACCAACATAATGCTCCTGGAGGCTTGAGTCTAACATGGGAACGGTGTCCAGGTCGAACTACATCCGACTAAGCCCGGTCCACTACATGCCGTGAACAGTACGCTGCCGTTGGCGAAGGTTATGTTTTGGTTCTCGGTCGCAGGGAAGGCAGACAACATTAGTCAAACAATGGAGGAGGGGATAGAAACCAGGGCTGACTAAACCTGGAAACGTCCTGGCTCGATGAGGCTTGCGAAATGCCCGGATGTATCAGCTTTGTGACAGGCCTGTTCAGCGAGCTACCTTCAAATACCCCCTACTCCAAATATATTATTCTTAGGACTTATTCTTAGGAACACCTGCTTTCCCATGCTGGGTGCCTCCCTTTTTGTGCAAAAGTTTGATATCATACCCAAAAACGAAACGGGTGCTTGGACTAGGGGCTAGCTTGCCGGCAATGCTCACGCTGATTTTGGCCGAGTCCTCCAAGGGTCTCTGCATATGCTCGTCCCGTGAACCTCAACACGGCAAGCATCCGCAGGTCGGCCGAAGTGTCCCATTGTTATATCCCCTAATAGTGAAATGCATCCCTATAGTTTGCTTGCATCTCACTCATTGGTAGTAGCTTTGGCAGATCTGCAAATAGCAATGCCCAATAAAACGGCGTCCGACATCTCCTTTTGCCGTCTCGTCTGGAGCCCTGGAACCCTGGAACCTATGATGACATGCTTTTGGACGCTCCAAATTCAGGTGGGTCCCCGAGTGCCGGAGCCAAATGCAAGCGAGAGACTTTGGCCTCCTACTTTTGGCACACCCAATTGCAGGCCTGCCTTAAACAGCTGTCTCAAACCAAGGTTCCATTCAAAGGTCAGAGAAGGCCCATTTGCTCATCACTCACGGAACCACAATGGACAAACAAATGACCAACTCGGGCTCCATGCGAATGACCTTGGCGAAATGAGGCTGCAACACAACTGCTGAAACCATCGGCAAGCGGCAACAGCCTCGTGTGTAGGCCCTAGCAAGACATGCATGTCCACCACCCTCAAGACAGGTTCTCCGCCCACGTTCACATTTACTCTGAGACATCATCACACCAACCCCTGGCATCCTGAGTTTGAACTTGACGAATGCGGGGGATTTCTTGGGTTACATGTCAACCCACTTGCGCGATCCGTTCCAGAGGTTGCCTTTTCCACTGAAATGAACAGCCTCCCTTCTACACTACCAGGGGGGTTGCTTATTGTATCCCACAAACAGTGGCAAAGGCAAGCCATGAGTTCCAATTCATAGCCTGCATTTACCCTCACCGCAAACGACTCCCACAGGGATGGGCCGCCCGACGCAGCCCTGGCCCCGACGGCGCCGGCGCCCTGCCACGACTGCGGGACCTCAGTTGACCGACAGCTTACGCCAAATGGACCAAAGGTTTTCTTGTAGGGTACCCAGGCTTAACCTTGGAATTCCAAGGAAGCCAACAAGAAGCCACAACTTAGATATCAATTGGTGTTAAAACCCTGTTGCTTCGTGGGAAACACACTTTGGCAGTCAAAGGATTCCTGCGCTTAGACTCAAACACTTTTGCGAGAGGTGTTTAAGTACTTTGCGTGGGTCTTTCTACACAGGGCGTAGACAAACAACGGCCTGCTATGTATGCCGAATGTCCTATCCTTTCGAAAAGGTCAACATCATGTACTGTCAGCCATCCTGAATACTGATCGAAGACCAACGTCCGTCTTGCCGAAATGCACTTCGCGACTCAGACACAAGGAGGAATCATTTTCAGTGGCCATCAAAGCCAGGCTGCAAGGTTTTCAACGTTGCATCATGTTGACTGCATGGTTGTGTCTCAACGGCTCTTTAGTCAAACATATGCTTCCCTCTCTGTCCTCTCTCCATGGCGCCACCAGCCGGTCGCTGAATCGGACACATTCCCATTTACATTGCGGGGTGGCAGTCAGTTTGGCTGCACGGTGCGTGCCATCACTGAAAGCCCTTTTAAGCTCTTGGGTGGGGAAGTATATGATCAAGGCCAGCGCAGATTATCAAACTATCAAAGCCACGTCGAAAGTCTGGGTTAGAAGGCCAAGTCTCAAGAGACAAAATTATACTTGCGTCTCCAGCATCCCTCCCCATCCTGGTACTTCCAGCCTTGAAGGATAGTTCCACCGTCCTTGCGGTAGGGCCCATAAATTCAATCGAGCTTAGACATCAAGCCGCATACCAAGGAATACCTCACTACCTCACGGCGAATGTGGAGCTTAGGGGAAATAAAATCAAACCAACAACAAACTAACACATGGGTTCGCCTACACAAATCTTTGGTATTCATGACCGATGCGAGTCACAATCATATGCTGTCTGGCAACAAATGCTAACATCAACGAGGTATCTTTTGAAGTGAGTCCACTCGTGTGATGCTTCCTTGAAATCCAATATGGTACCTCAAAGCAGAGTCCACCACAAGTAGATTCCTCAATAGATACAAGCTTGTGAGGGGTCATACCAGTTTTCGGCGGTGTGGGGACAATTGTTGGTGGCTGAAGCCCTTATCAGTGATGCACTACACTGGATTGAAATCCAAAGCGTCTTGCCGTCTTCTTGAACTCTAATCTGCTATGGTCTTACTCTGCGATGTTCAAGGGTACAGTCCAGTTAAACACACAAATGTACATCAGGACATACGCCTCACACGATAACGTGTATCTGCAGGCAAAACACGGACACAGAAAAGGAAAGCTTTCTACAACATTCAGCAAGCAGTGGCGCGAAAGCTGGCGATCGTGTCAGCACCTGAATCCAATAGCTCCCTACCGGGACCTTGGACTTAGCTTGTCCCGAGAGCTGATCATAAAATCGCGGCAAACAGCAACAGGCCAAGGACACACGCGCAGAAAAAAAAAAAAAAAACAAACATGTGGATACTTACTCAACACACACACACATACACACACACACGCACTACACCTGCACAAATGCTTCTCAAACACAAAGGCATACATGGCATAAGCGCACCCCCCGGCCCCCAACACACACACACACACAAACACACGGGCTCAGACAACAGTTGACACACACACACAATGTACACCAACACACCATAAAGCAGTGACATGGTCACTTTTCACTGTGCCCCATAGGATTGCAGCATGTCCTGAAAACTTCGGATTGATCCGTAGAACAATCATGCAACTCACTTGCTGAATGGATTGGCCAAACAAGAATCATACTTTTTGTTCACCACTAAAATGGTCCAAACCCCAAAAGCGCAGAAAGTCCATGAACTCAGGGGGTGAGCCAAGGAATCTCCCATGATTTCGTTCCCCTCAACAGTATTGGTATGATCCGGCCGTCCTGAAGGCGGAGGAGCCGCTGCTTTTGGTGGAAGCGGTGGGGGAGGCGGCCTGATCCTCAGACGTTGGCTCACTGAAACGACG